TCTGTAAATGTAACACAGGTTGAGGTCGTGGAATAAGCTTGTTGGTGTTTTCACTACCCTCCAACAACAGCCCCTGCCCAACAACAGGCATTGAGTCTGTTCAACAGGGGACGAACCTTTTGCTCCTTAGCAAAGGCATAAGCTCTGGACGCATTGAGTTATCCCGGAAACTAGTTTAATCTGCCATAACACCCGGAGTCTGGCTGCAACACGCATGGCATCGCTGAACGCGTTCTATATCATCACTCCAGGACTGGAGAGCTCTGTGAAATCCGCTACTGCTCGCTTCTTCAGTATGTCTAAAACAAAACAAACCTTCGCTGATTGTCTTGAAACTTTGAGAAAACGTGTGAAGTTTTGAGAACATGTGTGCAATGCCAGTACATTAATGACTCCTGGAGCTGTTTCCAGTCCTGCCGTCCTACCTCAGAGTACATCTGAAACTGGCCATCATCATATGAAGGCCGCTCGAGGCCCGCAATGAATTACCGTTGATGCTGCAACTACCCTAAACCCTAAACCCTCTTGTCTCAGCCATACCAGCCAGGTACTCTGCTTCTTTGCAGGTCCACTCAGGTCTTCTCATGCGAAGGTGCGGCGCAGGAGAATGCCAGCCGAGCCCACCATGTAACCCACCTGCATCAAGCAACCATGGTGGGGTGAGACAGCCGGCGAAGCCCGACTAAGAAACAAGGACCCAATACCCACCAAATACTGTTCCTATACTATACACCATAGTACTCTTGCTATTACTGTTGCTTTTGTGATTGCTATTAATTGTCACAGATTCCTTGTCCTGAGGGTCATGGAGATTCAAAGTGCATGCAATTGTGGGATCCTCCGTGGCCCAGAAGGTCTGCAATTTGGCGATCTTCCCCCCAAACTAGCATGGAACCCCCAGAAGGCCTACACAGACCCCTGTCCCTTTAAGAGGGTATTACATGGAGTGCCATGTAAGTTTGGGGGAAGGTAACCTGTGGCATCGGATGTTTGCTGTTAACATGCGGCTCGCAGCTTCAGAACAGACATCAGGCAGGCGAGGGTAATCGTACGTTAGGATCAGCCCCCGCGCAGTAACAAACCCTACTAGTTCATCATTGTAGTACGTGTTGGCATACCCCAGGATTACGAGTTTGGGGGACTGAGTGTGTGGGACCGAACCGCATCCACTGTGTAGTGTATTCTTCCTATCCCCGACCTACCCACCCCTAAAAACTGTCATTTCGTGGTACTGTCGAAATCTTATCCCTGGCACGCTTCTTTAGCCTAGCTCCTTTTTGGGGTGTGATGTCAGTGCCAGTGACTTCCTAGAATGAAGATGCCAACAATTAAGAAGCACAGGAATCGCGACCAAACGCTGAGTCTCAAATCTTGGGTATTACTTATTTCTAGAACTTCGGATTTTTGAGGTGAACATGTTCAGCAGAAACCTCACCCAGCCACCTGATTCTTCTTCGTGGCCACAAGAGTCCCATCAACCCCCCCCCCCCCCCCCCCACCACCCAGTCACAATTCTGATTGTAGGGACCCCTAATTTATAGGAAGCAAGACCTTGAACACCGTCTGTGTGTAATAGTCCGCATGTACATGCTCGCAGCTTCAACTACTGTTTAGTGAAGGGGCTCTATACGGCTTATGAGGAGACACCTCACCTTGGGATGCCAATGCGAACCCCAATAAAGAAGAGGATGTGGCCCAGGGATGAGTTGCTAGTGCGGGTATCCTATGCAAAATGACTAGCCAGCTTCACCTGCATCAGGGCAGTTAGGGTGCTGGGAACCCTGCCTGTACTCCATTCAATTACTTTCCAGATGGGCTTTGAAAAAGAACAGGTCAAACTCTAAACCCGAAACCTCTGGAGACCCAACCCCACACGCCTTTCCTTGCTGAAAGAACTTCACCTTCAGTTTGGACGCTAGGGTTCAGGGTTCAGTACGCAGCCCAGTTTGTAGGACACATCCCTGGCAGGGGAAGTTTACATAGGAGTTTCTCTGAGTTTGTTGGGTCGCTGGCCTAGGATCCTGCAGCAAACCTAGCAGAAGTCTCGATGATTTCTGGAAATTATCACACAAACATCCGACTAAAGAGCGGCATGAGCTGTGTGCAAAAGTCACACTGTTCAGCTTGCCTTATTACCCCTGAAAGCCGTAGATCCAAAAGCTAGGCATCTTAGCGCCACAACAGTTCCCGACTCATAGCCTAGAAGGACATACCAGAACCGTAGGATGCCATTGAGGGGAGACTGCTTTGGAGACAACTAAACTGGGAGTGTATATGAGGTCCGCTATACCTTTGACGTCCGGGAATGTCCCCTGCTGAAAATGCCGCTGAAACCTCATTGCATTGAACCCCAATTAAGCCTTATTGGGGTTCGATGCTGGAAGCAAGTAGGCGTCCTGGTGCAAACTTATCCGCGTGCACCAATGTGACACTTAAGCAATTTCAGGATTCCCTGGATGAGCGCCAGGCAGATATAAGCTCCCCCAACTATCCGGGTTTAGGATTTAGGTGCTAACCCTTGACGCCTTAGGCTTGCAATCCTTGACCACAAACCTCTGCCCGAACGCGTGCCACGTGTAGCCTCCCTATACACTACCCTCATGAATAACCTGAATGCAAAGCGCAACTTTGGCGCACACACGCAAGGTTTCAGATGGGAGTCCCTGTGAGTAAGGCTCCCAAGGGTTCAGGGATGTTTAGGGCTTACATGATACCCCGAAAATTAACTCCCACAAAAGACAAGGAATTCCGAACACCTCTTATTATGGTAGTCTAGATTACTAGGTGGGGACCCCAATACAGACCCCAATCTACTATTCTATAAAGCTACTTTCCATGCGATTTGCCATTTTCTTGTAAACTTGATTCTCCATTATTGGTAATAACGGCACTAAACTCCCCACAGAACACCTATATGAACCGATATAGCCTCTATTCAACTCTTGCATGACTCCTATAAACCCTATATAACTATAGAACCCTACAAATCCCCGTGGATTACTGTGGAACACCAGGCCCCGGGCGTTGTACAAGTTGCAGGGCAGGTCGGTGGCTGAGGGATCGAATGCCCAGGTCTTTCCTGGGCTGGCAGGAGGTAAGCTTGGGAGTTGAGGGTTTAGGATTTAGGGAGATGAGTTTGGGGGTTGAGGGTTTAGGGGGGTAAGTTTGGGGGTTAAGGGTTTAGGGAGGTGAGTTTGGGGGCTGAGGGTTTAGGGAGGTGAGTTTTGGGGTTGAGGGCTTAGGGTTTGGGATGGCCCTGGGTTTAGCCTCCCACCCCCTTTATAACAAAGAATTGCCCCCCAATAACCATTCTGTTTAAATATCTATTGCTAGGGGAGCATTCGTTGGACAGCTTCCAAGTCCCCAGTCCAAGAAATCGTTCCTAAACCCTGAGGTTTAGGGCTTAGGGGTTTAGGGTTTATGTGGTTTTTGCATTCTACGAGGTCAACTGGGAGCCAAACAATCCAGCTTCCATTCAATTTGCCACTTTCTAACGGGGTACCATGCCCAACAACCCTATCTATCCCCATATACCTGATACACACCCTTACTCCATAAAAAAAACTGCTTCTCCATTCAGGCCCAAAGAACGCCTCTGCCCCAGCGTCCCCCCTGATCAAGCCTTTTGCAAACAACCGTACATTTTCATATGGCAAATACCGTCCTAGGCACTTGTGCTTGCTTAAATCAAGCTCATCAACTTTCAATCACATGGGGTCCATTAGCCTCTCATGCCCGACACAAACGGATGTGACTGGAAAAGTAATCCCATCATACCCTATGCCCTTGGAATTTCAGTACTTCTAGGGGTCTCAAGTGGTGCGCTCTTTCCTCCATCTACTGTAGCTAGGAAAACACACTTATCACCAGGTTGTAACCTAAATCCACCTTTACGTAACCTAGTTACCCAGCCTAGCCCCTAAACCCAAACCTTCTGCATCCCTCAAACTTTCAGTTTTTCTTAAATGCGACCTCTTCTCCACAGCCTGAGGGTGCACGGAAGTGTCTTCAGGACATGGCTTTGAAGGGTTTCCAGAAGCCCAGCTTCTCTTTCAATTTCCATTCTGATCCGCATGTGATTCTCCGTTATCATATTTCTGTACGAACCACTGTGTTTCATGATGCGTTAATTGAGTTACGAGGTGACCACTGTGCTTCGCAACACGTTGTAATTTTTAGGGAGTATGTGAGTGGTTGTCAGAATTATGGTCCCTTTTTGGGTACCCTCCATAATTTGGACAACCACCCATGTACTGAGCTACTATGTCTTCGGGCCTTTACCATGAAGCTCAGCCGTGCGGCCGCCATCCTTGGAGGTGTAGATCCTTAGATGACATGGGGGTCTCCTACAATTAGGGGTAACTTTTTGGGGTCCCCATAATAAGGTCCATAATATACTGGGGTCTATATTGGGGTACCCTAATTTAGGGAAACTACCACATGGGTTCCCTTGCTACCCTCTTTCAGGGTTCCTCCTTGATTAAAATTGTCTAGGGAGAACGACCGAGGGAATGAAGGGAACCTCGGAGGATGGTATAGCGGAGGGGGGGGTTTAGGGTTTGGGGGGGGCCTAGTAGGGGAATCTATGAAGATGTGGGAGTTTCTCCAAGGTTCAGGGTTCTTGAGCCTGCGCTTTTGATGAAATCTGGCAGCTGTTGTAATCCGAGAAGAACTTAAACGCCGTCATGGGGACCACATAGGGTAGCGCACACGTGGGGATCACACGCGGTTTCCTGGGGCATTCAGGGCTGAGGATTTGCACCACCTCCGCATCCAGCACGAGCGGCGCCAAACCAGCAACACTCCACATGAACTCAACAATAGCGATGACAAACGGTAAGCCCCAGATGCCAGAACAACGAAAACATCGTAGTTTCAATCTTCTTTTGCATTCCCCTATTTGTATCCCTGTATAATCTTTCCACTCCGTGAAATGCTTTTCTAGTTGCACCCTGCAGGTCTGGGACACCCTTTCGGGGTCTTAAAGCCTGGCGAGGCACACGCCGCTGCCTCCTGTTGCCCAACACTCGTTTGGCGTTCTGTAGCCGATGTCAATGATGCCAATTCCGCCTGAGGGTTGTGTATTTCGAGTGCACGGGTGAGGGATGACTTCAAAACCCTTGCGCAGAACCCCACAAGGATTCACATATTCCTGAATACTACTATATCATAAATACATATGTATATATATATATACATATTCACGGTCCAAAACAGGATTTTTTTCTAGACTTGGATCCCTCGGGAAATTATCTGAAAATTGCCGAATAAAAATGTCAACCGAGAACTCAAAAAGCAACTCCATCCTAGCCCACTGGCCTGAACGGATCTTCGACAGCTGGAAAAGCTCCTCAGGAGGCACAAGGGCTTTGCTAGACAGGGGGGGTGCTACCTAGACCCTCCTCCTACCCTCTATTAGGGCCTAAGTACCCATTATTAGGGACCATATACCCCCAATTAAGGGTACTAGGAGGGTCCTGGTACTTCTAAGGCGAGACCTGTCAGAGTCCGACTCCTCCTTACTTGTCATCAGCTTCCACTAGTTTGCCAGAAAGGAGGCGGTGGTTCTCAGGGGTTAACTGCGCGTCGAAAGGGTGAAAGGCAGCTTTTATGTCTAATTATTGGGCGCACCCCATGGAATTCCTGGGACTATCATACCCTGAAGTGTATACCCATCACGCTGGAAGTCTCGTATGAAGCCCCTATATCCACCCAAGAATAATCCTCGTAACAGGTACACCGAAAAAGGGGCCCGCGAACTTTTGGACATCCCAATACCTGGACAAAAACCATAGGTTCCTCTGTTGAAGCATCGATGTTCGTTTCCTGAAGGCTACGCAGGGACCATCTACCCCTGACATGAATCACGTGCCACTACGTAAAGCTTGCTATTCCGCAGCCTGCTGCTGGCTCATGATCCATGAATAACTCTTCGCTTGTCCATCTTCACTCCATCATCTCATCCGGTGGGATGTAGGATTACGCACCATTATTCACAGCTCAAACTCTTCAAGCCTTATGGTTCACTACCTTAACGGGCCATTTGTCTACCTGTCAATTCGTACGCGGCTAGTCCTTGGTGTCAGAGGCCAGGTCGGTGAATGTGGGCTTGTCACATAGTGTGACCACACCACCTGAGGAGTGATTCGTGCTTTCTCAGGGACTCGATACAAGGTGGATTTACACTGTTAGCACCACCAACAGGACGCTCGGTATGCACTCATCTATAGTCCCCCTTAAGTAGATAGAATATGGGGTGAATGGGGATGTTATTCTAATATACCCAAAGCCATATTCTATCTACTTGAGGGGGACTATATGTCTCATATATACACTAAGCCCGCTACAATACCCTTTCAGTGTGAGATCCCCATTAGCTCCACTCTGCCCCAACTGGGTATGCGCCGGGCATGTGGAAACGACAGGCGCTTCTGCCTGGAGATCCTCATAATCGTGGGTTTCCCTACTACCCCCCTCTATGCTACGCCCTCTCGGTGTAGGTTTACTGTGTAGGATTGTTTATGATTAATCCAGGGGGACTCTTAAGGGCGGTAGTATAGCGGGTGGCTGGGCGAACCCGTAGGATACCAAGGCTTGGCAGCACATGTCATGTTGGACAGTGTCCTGTATGGAGCACGGGAAAATTAAGGTGGTGACTATCAGGTAAGCTATGGGAACTTCCGAACAGAAGGCGTCCTTTTGTTGAGATTTCCTGCGATGAGACTGAGAACTATAACGTACCCTGATGGCTGGACACTCCCACATCAGTTTCCAAGAGATTTTTTCGACGGTATCAAACAAGGCATCGGAATCCCTGCTATCCTTTACAGAAGGACGCTGAGCCGAAGAAGTGATTCTTCAATCAAAAAAGTAAGACCCCCCCACCCCCCCCCCCCGCCTTTCCTACACCGCATTGAAAACACCAACAAGATTTGCACCTGGTGTTATCCAACTATGCACTTTCACTCAAGTTATTCATTGCGAATGTATTCGTCGGGCTTCTTGCAGGACAGCTGCCGTTAAGGCTCATCCATGCGCCATCCAGCGTCTCTCCATTCGCGCACTCTCTGAAGCCCATGCCCTGACACAGTTCACGGCTTGGGAATCTACAGCGCAAAGCTGCGATTCCCTGCGCATGCTGATTGCAGAACATTGCAGAACCCATCGCAAATTCGTTCGCTTCTCCTTTTGATGCCAACCTGTTGGCCTATTTTTGAGGGAGGAGTTCGAGGCTACCTTTGGCTGGAGAACCTGAAGATCTCCTCAACTGCAGCAAGACCCTACACTTACTGTAGCCCATACCTGCGGCTACGGTCCTCCCTAGGCTCCCCACAACAAGAGTTGCTTCTCAAAGAGCCAACCCAACGACTCCAATCTCCAAGTAGCCTGGATACGCCTGGCAGAGATACGGTTGTGCGGCACCCAACCTGGGTGTTGGAATGTGGGTCGGCAGTGTGATTTACGCGGTTGAGAGGTGATAAAGCTGCTGCAGAGGACTGAAAGATTAGTAATATCGTTTCGAGCTCTGTTTGAAGTCCCCTTTGCCATAGCCATGGCGACACAAGGAATCTAGGACCAACATATCGCCACTTCTCTAGGCTTCTACAGTAGGTGTTAAATAGTACACGACAACCCTAGCGCATCAAATTTGAGAAGTCGGTTTCTAAGGCTTCCAGTTCATTTTAGGATGGGATTGTCCCGGAGCTCTGGATTAGCAGCCGGAGCTTCGAGGTTTGCAGCTCCAGTTTGACGGCACAGCAAAGCCCGAGAGACGAGAAGGCGCAGCTTCATGTTTCATGGACTATGGAAACTACTATAGTATATAGGGGTTATATCGGGATAATGGAAAACAAAATGGAAGCTACTATAGTATATAGGGGTTCCAAGTATGCAAAAGCGACAGCTGCCTACATGCGCTGGCTGCTGAATTTACTTAACCGTGAGTGTTAGCAAAGCTTGGGTACAGCCGAGGCATGTCCGGTAATGAGCGCTTTAATGTTCAGAGCATCGCAGGTAGACGCGGATCAACCTACAGCATGAAGTCCTCTCGAAGGGGTTTGTGAACACCCATAAGACAAGGATACCTGTGCTTTGCTGGGTACTTATGGCCTATTCCCTGGCAGTGGACACCCTGGGCCCTTCAGACACACAATGTCTGAGCAACTGAGGGAAAAACAAACAAGACTAATTACCTGCAAGCCTGCAGCTCTCATTTACTGTTCCCTTATTACACCTATATACCCCTATATAACCGCTTTAGGGGGTGATTAGACATATATACCCCTATACAACCCCTTTAGAGGGTTATTGTACCTCCATAACCCTCTATTACCCCTTTAGGGGTTGGGAATTCTCTGCGTCCGGTAGCGAGTGTCTCCTGGAACGAAGCTCAAATAGAAGTTCCCGCGCCTCCGCGAGATTTGGGTCCGAGATTTTGGCGTTTGCAAAATTTAGGACACCTCTTTTAGGGGTTCCTACGTAATATACTGGGGTCTGGTTTTGGGGCTCTCTGCTCATGGGAATGCCCGTTCTGGGATCTGGTATAAGGTGTTTGGGGCTTAGGGTTCCTTGAAAGGGGTTTATAACCGTTGTATCAGGGTTCATGATGCTTTAGGGTGTAGCGTGGGGCTTTCTACCAGTTACGAGTACATGCAGGCTAGACTGGTAGCCCGGATGGATCTTTTCAAAGGCCCACGCAGAATCAAAAAAAAAAACGCCTGAAGCGGAATGCGTCAAGTGGATAAAGCTTAAATGCTAAATGGCCATCGTCCAACATGATTTGTTTCCTCCCTTCGGCCAGTGTACAAGCAAAAGCATGAGGAGCTCTATGATTCTTATGTAGAAAGGAAATGACAACAATGCAAGACTGACAGTTGTAAGGAACGCTCACGTATGACCCCCTTTTTGCACGTGGATTCCGAGCTGCCTGCTATTCACACCATGTATGAGCCCCGCAGATGTAACCTTGTACCAAACTATCTGAGCTGTGTAGTCTAAACTCCTACTATCCCCCGTAATCAGCCCTATGATAGTCCCCTATATAAAAACCCCTATGTAATCCCCTGTAAGGTAGCTCATGCATGAACCCTGCAAACTTGACCTTGTACCAAACCATCTGCAACCCCAGGTCTATGCTGGCACCACAGGAGTTTTCTCTCTACGCCGTAGTCCACGGTTTAGGGCCCGAATGCTGGGTAGGCATGTTACGATGAAATGTCGGTGTGATCCATGAAAACAACTAGAGTACAGGTTACAAGTTGGTTCAAACTTGAATGTTTTCCTTGCCAGCCCAAATATCCTAAACCCTCTAAATCTTATAAAGTCTAAACCCTATAAGCAATAGCCCCTATCTATCTATCTATACATACATACATACATACATGCATACATACATACATACATAGATACATAGATACACATACACACACATACACACACACACACACATATATATATATATAGTATATCCCTCAACCCTAGCATCTCAAATCATGCAGCCAAAGCTCTGGGCAATGGCCAGGTACTCTCCTTTAGAATTGCGCTTGATGGACTTGACCTTGGTGATGCATTGCCAGGGCTTAGGATTTTTTTTAGGGCTTAGGGTTTAGGGGTTTGGGTCAGAAGGTGCACCTAAGCCCACCCAAAAGCCCACAGTGATGTTTTTGTGTAGCCATCATTTTAGGGTTAAAGGTCATTATGTTTAAAAGGCTATTATCATGGCTCCCCTAAACCCATGATAACAGCCTTTCACCCCAAAACAACATGCACAGTATACAGGCTATTCTGATGGGTATTTGGGAGGTCGAGATCTTTTGGCGCAACGTCAGCAAATCACCTCCCAGGGATGGAAGTTGACTCAAACCCTAAACCCCAAACAATACAGTCCTCCTTAAGTAGATAGAATATGGGATGTATGGGGATCTTGTTTTAGGTCCCCAGGGGCATCTTCTTTCTACTTCAGGGGGACTATAAACCCTTAACCCTTAACCCTAAACCCTAAGCACAAGGTGCGAAGACTGGGCGAGTCGCCTCGAGCCGCACACATTGTGTACTGCCCCCACCCTGTAATATTCTGTACTAGCGGTCATATTAAGGGCTATGTAATATTAGGGTCTAGGGTTTAGGGTGAAAGGCTTTATATAACTTAAGTCTGAATGTTGTCCAGCTGTTACAGACTGGGGGCAGTACCCCACATGCACCCACCATAATGGAGGATATGTGGTTCCTTCAATGCTAGGATAAGATACCCTTATTGCAGAGGCCAGTACTTGGAGGGTCAGGAGGACTTAGTAAGTACTTTAATCACCCCCATAACCCATATAGTAACCCTAGTTACACCCATTTTTAACCTACTTAGTAAGTCCCCCTGACCCTCCAAGTAGCAGTCACAAGTCGTACTGGTTCAGCACGAACTGGCGCTGATTATTACCCCAACGGGTGACAAATGCAGGACGAGTCATGGATGAACGGGCTGCAGAACTAAAAGCCTACCTACTAAGCAACTGAGGCAAGGACACTGCCGGTGAAGTAGCTTCCACCAGAAACGCCGCTCTGAGAGACACGATTTAGCGTGGCATCGATGGTCTCCTCGAAGAAGCAAGCGAGATAACTGTAGTACTTGGAGGCTCTTTTGACTTCGTAACTCTGCATCACATACCGCAGAAGCCCTACTGCAAAGCCCAAATCCTCTACTATGAAATAGACTTACTTATCTTACTGAGTCATGAGAGCCTCCAAGAATTCTTCTGGTCAACAAAATTGTTGGCAGCAGCCACAGAAAGTACGTATGGCAATAGTGACAGGTTGCAGCACTACTGCAGCTCCTCCTTCTAGTGCTTGAGACCAAAAAAGCCATAGCGTTAGCGGCAGTAGCGTTGTTGCAGTCACGTATTCTCCACATACATGTGACGTGGTCGCGGCAGGGCTTGGTAATCCCAAGAGTCCCTTGCTTTGCTGCCAAGCCACGGACACCTGGGACTTCCAATTCTTGCCATCATTCTCAGTCACCTCAGCAATACGGAGGGTTTTTCAAAATTGGTGTTGCTTAGGAACTCTAGGATTACATAGGGGTCATAAAGTATAAACGCATCATTCATCAGAGGGGTGCCTTCAACGCCTAAATTATTGGGATGCGTTAGAATTAGAGAAGACCCCACGTGGTGCAGGACGAAAGGCTCCGTGGCTCCGCCGTCTTCACGATAGCAACACTCTGGTACAGTCTGCTCTATTGGGGCTATATGGGGATAATGGAAAAGAAAATGGAAACTACTATAATGGGTAATATAGGGTTTACAGGAATTTTCCAGCATGGAGCCTACCCGAATGCAGAAGTTGCAAGTAGACCAAGGTCAAGGACCTACAAAACCATAAGGGTCCAAGGACCCAAATAATAGGGTTTTAGGGCCCAAATACCATTAACATAATAGTACTTGGGCCCTAAACCCCTATTGTTTGGGTCCTTGGACCCTTAGGGAAAGGGTCCCGGTCGTAGTCTCGGTTGGCCAAGTCACGTAGACGGCTCCGCTGGAGGTGGCCATCTCGGCTTTTCCGGGCCCCAGGGAAACAATGACCTGCCGAAGTGGGCCGAAAAGGGTTTAGGGGTTAAGGGTTTAGGTTAAAGGGGATCTTCTGCATTGGCCTGTATCATTGCCCATCACATTTTGTGAAATCAATTTTGCGGTGCCCAGGTCTATTTGAGGTGCCTTGTACCTTACCTGTACACAGAACCGGGAACCGAACCAGAATGTCGATAATTTTCCAGGCTCCTACATTACCTGACTTAAATGACACCTCTCCTTCCAAGGCAAAACCCTAGCCATGCTCTACCTTGATTCTGAGTCTCATATCTTTGGATGAAGCCCTGTACCCATTCACGGTTGATGTAAGGCTTAGGGGTCAGGATCAAGAGGGTGAAGGGTTTAGGGTAGAAATAATGATAAACTGATGCCAACCAGAGTCTTTCACCTCCTAGTTGGCAGGTTTTTCCTCTTCCCTGTGCACCCTGATGAAAACCCACATAACTTAACACGGACCTCTGTGTAGTATGTACGACCCTAACACAGAAACCTCAGTTCACTC